TCCTGGGGTGTCCCGAGGATCCCGAGGGGGTCCCGGGACCCCCCCCAGCGCCGTTTTCGGGGTGCCCCCAGGACAGCGGGGGGTTCCAGATGGTCTCGCTGCTGGAGCTGTCGGAGGTGTCGGAGGAGGGGGTCCTTTTCCGGCCCCCCCACGGCGGGGAGCCCGTGCTGCTGAGCCCCGAGAGGGCCATGGAGATCCAGAACGCGCTGGGTGGGCGCCGGGGGGACCCCCGAACCCGCGGGGAGGGGTGGGCGAGGACGGGGGTGACCCCCATGTCCCCCCCCCACACCCAGGCGCCGACATCGTGATGCAGCTGGACGACGTCGTGAGCAGCACCACGACGGGGCCGCGCCTCGAGGAGGCCATGCTCAGGTGGGACCCCCGGGAGCACCCCGAGACCACCTGAGAGCACCCTGAGAGCACCCAGAGACCCTCTGAGAAGCCCCGAGAGCACCCTGAGACACCCCGAGACCACCCTGAGACACCCCCAGACTACCCTGAGAGCACCCTGAGACCCTCTGAGAAACCCTGAGAACACCCTGAGACACCCCGAGACCACCCTGAGACACCCCCAGACTACCCTGAGACCCTCTGAGAAGCCCTGAGAGCACCCTGAGACACCCTGAGACCACCTGAGAGCACCCTGAGACCCTCTGAGAAACTCTGAGACCACCCTGAGACACCCCGAGACCACCCTGAGACACCCCCAGACTACCCTGAGACACCCTGAGACCCTCTGAGAAACCCTGAGAGCACCCTGAGACACCCCGAGACCACCTGAGAGCACCCCGAGACCACCCGAGACCACCTGAGAGCACCCTGAGACCCTCTGAGAAACCCCGAGACCACCCTGAGAGCACCCCGAGACACCCCCAGACTACCCTGAGAGCACCCTGAGACCCCCAGGACACCCAAAGACCCTCTGGGACCCCCCCAGACCACCCTGAGACACCCCGAGAGCACCCTGAGACCCTCAGGATCCCCCCGAGACCACCCTGGGACCACCCTGAGACCCTCAGGGATCCCCCAAGACCACCCTGGGACCACCCTGAGACCCTCCTGGAACCCTCTGGGTCCTCCTGGGACCCCCCCAAGACTCCCCTGGGACCCTCTGGGCTCTCCCGAGACCACCCTGAGACCCCCCAAGATACCCCAAGACCACCCTGAGACCCTCAGGATCCCCCTTGGACCACCCCGAGACCCTCTGGGTGCTCCTGGGACCCCCCTAAGACCCACCCCAGCCCCTCCTGGGACCCTCCTGGCACCCCCCAGCCCCTGCTGGGACCCTGGTAACCCCCCGGTTAACCCGGTTAATCCCAGTTAACCTGTTAACCAGGTCGGTGCGCTGGCTGGATCGCTGCCTGGCCGCCCCGTTAACCCTGGTTAACCCGGTTAATCCCGGTTAACCCGTTAACCAGGTCGGTGCGCTGGCTGGATCGCTGCCTGGCTGTCCTGGTTAACCCGGTTAACCGGTTAACCCGTTAACCAGGTCGGTGCGCTGGCTGGATCGCTGCCTGGCCGCCCCGTTAACCCCGGTTAACCCGTTAACCGGTTAACCC